TCTAAGCGCAGTCGCCGTTGCAAACCGATGACGATGTGCTGAAATCAAGAGAAAACGGTCATCTTGATGCGTGGTGGACCTTTCTCTGTCGCCTCCATGTCGATGAGAAGCTGAACCATGAGCTTGATACCGGTTCCAAGCTCTGCAAATAACGCTCTGACTGACACCCAATAGCTCTGCAACGTGACGTTGTCTTGCACTATTTTCGAGCATTCCTATGCATCTGGCCAATTCTTCAACAGTCAAACGACGTCTTTGACGTTGTGGAGGCATTTTCATAGAGTAACAGTGACTTAAACGATGTCAGATGTAAAGACAATGCCCAAATTCAAATCAACGACAAGCACTCAGAAATGTGAAAAATGTGGGTACCATGCTTCACGTGCTACTCATGATCATTGCAGCATGCATTTCCCTACCTAACCTGTGTTTTGAGGCTCAAGAGGGGTCAGTCCAACATTGTGATGAAATTTGCGTGTCATATCAATTCATATATTGATTTTATCATGTAAGAACTATATGATCCTTATCAAACTTTGAGTAGTATATATGGTTTGATTTGATTGAGATACCTGTTCATCAAGACCGCGTATCTCTGCAGGATAAAAACAGAACACTTCCTAAAGTTATTATTACAGTTTGAATCTGAAAATGTAATAAGCTGTGCACTGACTGTGTGCTTACAGCTGAGATGCTCCTCTCGGTTCAAATTATGTAACTGAATAGATTGTTATTTTGTTTTGAAATATAAACATGAACAGTGTAACTAAGCGAGTATATTCTATGGGACTTCAAATTTCACATATAAACAGACATGATTATTCACATTATTACACTGAAAGAAAAAAATAGATAAACATACATCTGCACTTATACCTACTCGTAATTCCTCTTTATGGAATGACCTGTTTGGTTTGAATTCATTAACTGTGACTGGAATGCAAAACTGCCTTTCCTTTTCTCCTCCCACCCTCCCTGTTTAATGTACATGATATTTTAGTCAATTCCGTAAATGGTAAGCAGATTACACCTCAGTGTTAATCACACAGTGTGAAGGGCATCATGGTAACTTTACTCGGTGTTTGTGAAACACAGTTGTAATTTGTGTCAGGCAAACTCTGTGAAACACTCACAAAATGTCAGCATACCGAGCGACGGCGGAAGTGTAATTCTCGCACTACTATCTGAGGCGGAAACTGTAGCTGACACAGCCGTAATTGTTGGAAGCAATGTACTTTGAAAAACAACAAGGGTAGAAACACAGTGGCTGTGTGTGGTGGTAAAGATCGAAATGTCGGCTGACCGAGTGATTAACATTCCGTCTGTTTCAATGTTAGAAATAGCAAGAATATGACCTTCCATAATCTACGGTAAATGGCCATAAGTGAGTCATCATTAGTGAAAGAATAACGGAAGAATAATTTTCATAAGTTTAGAATCGGTCGAATTGCTTTCATACTTATCTACCAATTGGGAAATCATCTCAGCTACATACACATAATTTCTATTAAATTTTCCGATGATTATTACGAAAAGTGCAACTATTTACACGACATATATTAGACGTTCCAATCAGGTTTAACATGGCTGTCTATGGGATAGATTAAAATTAAGTTGTACTTATGGTGTTTAATGAGGTGTCATTCGATAACTAATCAACCGAAAGATGAAAGAAAATTATGTTCACGAAGCTAAGATGATTTCCGAGATGTTTGCAAAATGTCAAAATAAAATGACTTCTCCTCAATTAATGAAAATTATAATTGCAACACTTAATTAACATGTAAGTCTATGGAAATTTCACTAATGATGACTCACTTATGGCCAGCTACTGTACATTCCACGGCATATTATGAAAGTGTTGAAAAAATACATGTGTTCCACATTATGGTTTCAGTGTTAAGAGCAAAGCTACAGTCTTTCAATGTAACCACCATTATGGTGATACTTTGGGTCGTGTGCTTTAGAGAGGATGTACAGAGTGGCGCAAAAAGTATCTGCACACTTGACGTAATTTCCATAGATTTACATGTTAATTTAGTGCAGCATAAATAATTTTCCTGAATTTTATTTTTGTAAGATCCAAGTCAAATTTAGCACATGTTTGACGAATCAATCACAATAAATAATTGAATCTGGTCCTGGGGGTGGTTTATAGATCCCCTCTGCAAATCGAACCCAACCACTAGATCTGGTTTAGTCACCTCTTACAACAAGTACGGGTTCCTAACAGCAATAATATACAAACTACAAACTAAAAGAAACATGAATGAGTTAGTTTTACGTTGAGCTCCTAACCCAGTGACATGTAAAACAAACGAATCAGGACTAGACATCTAGTCATCAACACTGCGAACTTGGATGACATTAGATTACATAATTAGTTGTACCACAAAAAAGTCAAAAATATGCAAGACGATCAGGACGCCTCCTGTTTGTAGCGGGACGCAGGCGAGGTAGAGGATTAGCATCTGGTTGAATCCTGTCAACTTGTTGTCGTCCTCTTCTTCCTCGCGGTTGTTGTCCCAAGTCGTGTTGTTGAGGCCGCTGTACCACACGAGGTTGATTACCCGGGGGAGGTTGTCGCTGGGGTACCCGGTCGTTGTTGAGGTCGAGGACTGCTAGGAGGATCCTAAATATGATTTGTCTCAGGTTAATGAGACACAGTCCTAACAGGCACAGGATCGCATCTCTCAATAGATCTTTTTAGGAAAGAACAAAACAGAGAATCCATTACTGGGTGAACATTACTATTTCCTCCGATTCGTTAATCATGATCGGAGGCATGTGAGAGCACGCCGACCCAATACTGTTGCTCAGTCTTTGGGTGCCGGTCCTCCGGCCACTCTGACATGATTCATACCTGATACATTTCTGTACTCACCGCTCTCGAGTCCCATGAGAATAGTTCATACATAATCCTACCTCGAGTAGCATGTATTTTACTGGATGTTAGTGGGGAGCGATCTGGGAAATGACTAAACCATCGTGGGTAGTTATCCAGCGATGTTGGTGTTGGGATCGAGTTCAGGTGTGACTGAGAGTAATAATCTTGGAGTGAACTCTGTTGTTACAATCTTTGGAGTGCAGTACACTTCTGTTGATACTACATAACCATATTGTATTAGACAAACCCGTAAACACTTAGTACAGTTGTGGATGCAGCGATGCTTAGTGATCTTGGATAAGTGCATCGAATATGGGTTGCAGCAGGTTCACTCCGCTGTGATAGTCAGGGTTCACAGAAAGACCATGCACTGATGTATGGATACGATAAAGATTGCTGAATTGTATCACGCGGTATACGGTCTTCATTATGTCCTAACTACTCATAATATAATAAATGATGAATAATTACCCATATCAACAATAAATAGAATAATTATCTTTCCACCAACTTTGTTGGGTAGATAATCATCAATGCGTCGGAGCATGACCTTCGGGTATCTGCTGTTCACTCGTATGAACAGTGCATTCACTATTCTACCCACTCGCATAGTCTTTTGATCTTTTGTGAGTAGCTGCGTCTTCTTCTTCACATCGAACATGTGATTTAGAATTTTGTTAATTTTCATAGTAGCGTCGTTCAGGATGATGAATGCGGTTATTTGGATGATGTGTTTATAATTCCCGACTTATATAGTATACAATGAATATGAGATATTTACAAAAGACAAGTTATTGTCAATCAACAATATATTAGTGCTCTCCTGAAAGAGAATGGACGTCTTGGTAGTTTGCGATTTCGAGTCCATTGTTAGTGAATGTGTTATTAGCATTTTTCCGTGACCCCCAAACTTCGCGGTTTAAGTACATTAGTGTTACTGTGGTATTAGGTTTGTGAAGACATTCTGTTGTCATTTCTGGGTCATTTGTTCTAGGTGAGGTGACTAGTCTTCAGGTATAGTGATTCTTATCGAACACGTGTGATATATGTTTACCTTTTGGGTGTATGTTTATCTGGTTCGTGTATTCCCTTAGAGATTACGACCAGGGCTAGCAGTTTGGTGCTGCGGAGCTGGCTATTGGTTTAACATAGGGCGCTTTTCCGGGAAACAGACCACACTATACTACTGTGACGAATCAATCACACAATCACACAATTTCGGTTTAATTTTCCGTTGCTTGTTTACTGAATGGCAACAATTTAATCAACATGTGTACAGTGCTATGAACTCCTTTAACATGGCGGCCTATGGGATTGTGCATTGTGGAACCATACGTAAGTTACTAAATGTGATGTGAAGCAGCACCTGGAGTCGATCATGCATTGCGAATAAACATATCGGTCGTCTAGTTTGATTTCCACAATGGTGTGTAAGGGAGATACCGTTTTTCTAACTTGTTGTTAGCTACTCGAACATACACACACCCGCACATTATAGGTTCGATGTGGGTGTGGTTTAAAAAAAACAACTCGCTAAATAATTAACATTCCAACATAACTGGATAGTTTAAATAGATGAAAGTGTTTTCATACAATTAGATTATAACGTCTCCTTTGTGATATTTATTCTAATTTATATCTAGGTTACTAATACGTTCATATTATTATTTGTACAACTTTAATTAAATATGTATTACGAAAGACAACTGATTTGATATTAGAGTATAGGGAGGAGTGTGTGTGGTCGTGGGTCGCACCAAGCTGGATCATACCAAGTGCCCGTTCTCTTTGCTCTGCTGTTAATCTTGGCATGGTCGATGATGTTAACGTTGCAATCTGATACTGGCGAACATTTCCATGTGCTTTTATACTCAATACGACCCATGCACGTCATTTTGCACGTGCATGAAAAATTGCCAGTCAAATGCATTTTTCATGACTTTCCATTTCCAAATGCATGTATTTTGGCGCAGGTCCGTTTAAGTTGCGTTCGTGCGAAGGTTTTCTGTTCCAAACCACCTAAAAAGTCTGAGTTCAAATCCAATTTGTCCCCCATTAAAGTTTGGTATCGTTTCTTTTGCCCCTCAGTGTAGATCCGCATATCACTTGGCTGGAGTATGATGACACACTCAGTCACTCATTAAACAGATGATACCCCTACGCGAGCACGAGCTTGTTAAAAGCCGTGAATATTTGCGACCTGGTCAGCCTCCCCTCATTCCCAGGTATAAATCAGAGGGCTGTGTCCACTCCAAGGCTCAAGATGAAGCACGCAATGAATGTAATCATCAATTAGTGAGCGAGTAGAAAATAACACTGTCCTCAACATATTCCAGAAAAAAGTTACTCACCAATGATGTTCTTCCCTCCTGTGGTCCCATCGGCCTCCATAGTTCTATTCACCTCCGACGAAGACCTCACAACTGAGACGAGAACAGAATCACAGAAATAAGGATTGAGTTAGTATTGTACGAAAGCTTCATTCATATCGTTAAAGGAGAACCAACATTTCATGTTGGTAATTATTGATACATCTGTATCCTCGTTTTTCTTTACTTACCGATAGTCAAAGTGCTGCTGTGTTCGTTGTCTGTGGAAGTCGTCGCTGTCATGGTTCCACTTGTCGAGGAGATGGTGGTGAGGATGGTTCGATGTGATGCTGTAGATACAGAAGATAAACATTTTTAGTGAGCGAGAACATCTCTGTTAAACATTCCATGAACAATGTCAAGTTGCAGGAACATTATCTCTTATCTAAGAAGGCTATACTTACAAAGTGCTCTATCGAGTGTTGTCGTTGTTAATCCTCTGGTTATACTAGATGCATCAGTCGTCTGCAATACAACATAACATCGTATCATTGCTCAATCAACAACGAAGGTAATTACATAATCACTAACAATCACATGGGACGCAATGACCTCATCTGGGATTAACAATACTTCCTTTAATACACCGCGTACTCTCTACTGACGAAGGTTAATAATTAATACTCCATATTAAATGAGTTTATTTATTCATACATCATCTCCCAACCAACATGAACTGTGAAATGTAACAACCATAATTTGTAACTATGAAATGAAACAAACCGCCTGCCTTTAAATTTGATGCTATGATTTTTTCTGCTTTCGAATGACAATGCAATAAATAAATGTCTTTGAAATAAAACTCATTCCGAGTATGTACTTACAATATTTACTAATGCAAACTTGTTCTCGTCACTATATGGCTGGAAAAATGCCGACGTGACGTAAAGCTCAACTCAACTCAACTCAACATGATCACTTTTCCAAATATACTCCTCACAAAAAAATTAAGCAACAAGTGTATTTTTGGTCAGTACATATGCCTTTACTCATGATCATTACAACTGAATCAAACATAACAAAGATAAAGCATATCCACACACTTTTCCAACGAAGAAATCGAAATTCATTGAACAATAACTGACTTGCAAATCATCAAAAACAGTGTCACTGAAAAAAGCCGTGCAAAATGTGTTGCATCAGGGTATGAAAATGTCTGAAAACACTTTTACTGTCAGTTTTGAGCACTGATCCAAAGTTTAATAACGTGTATGGCCACCATTGACCTGAATACACGCTTCAAGACGTCTAGGCATTGACCAGATGAGTCTGTCTAGAGTCTGTTGTGGAATGTTCTGCCATTCTCTCCGCAATGCCTGTTCAAGCTGATCCAGAGTCTGAGGACGAACGTGGAGGCCGTACACACGCCTTCCGAGGATGTCCCAAGCATGTTCAATAGGATTCAGGTCAGGAGACCTTGCAGGCCAGTCCATATGGGTGATGTTGTTGGTCTGAAGAACATCAGTGACAACTCTTGCTCGATGTGGACGGGCATTGTCATCCATGAAGATGAAGTTAGGACCTGCTTGCTGAGCCCACGGAATGATCACAGGTGTGACAATTTCGTCTCGGTACCTCACACCTGTCATGGTACCTCGTCTGATGACCACAAGATCAGTTCGTCGTCCAACTTGGATTCCTGCCCAGATCATCAAACTCCCACCTCCATACTGATCATGTTCAGCAATCGTACAGTTGGCGTATCGTTCGTTACGGTTTCTCCACACACGAGCCCTACCATCATTGAAGTCCAGACAGAATCTTGACTCATCTGTGAAGAGAACATTACGCCAGCGATTGACTCTCCAGTTACGTCGTTGGTTAGCCCAATTCAGTCTCTGTTGACGATGGTGTGCAGGCAGTGGGATACGTTGCACTGGTCTTCGGGACCTGAGACCTTCAGCATGGAGTCTGTTCCTCACTGTCTGTGTGGAGATTCTGTTCCCAGCAACTCTCTGGAGGTCATTCTGGAGAGATCTGGCTGTGGTGAACCTGTTCCGCCGGGCTAGGGTGGCCAAGCATCGGTCCTCTCTGGGAGTTGTCACCCTTGGACGACCTGAGCGTGGTCTCTCAGTCATCAATCCGGTCTGTTGGTGACGAGTGATGATCGCTCTGGAGATGACGCTTCGATGAACATTGAAATGGTTGGCAACAGCACTCTGGGTCTGACCCCTGCACCATTCCAACAATTTGAGCAACTTCAATTGGTGTCAAGTGACGCCTAGCCATTTCTCAAATGTTACTGTCAACAATTTGTCGTTGCTGGCAGTTTTAACGCAATCAGAACGCATGTGCGACGTGTATAGCACATGTTTTCCATGCATTTTGCATGTGAGTTTTGAGGGTGGTTGCGTTCAGGCGGTGCTAACAATGTTATCAGAAAAACAATATGGGAAATGCTTTAAGTTCATCAATCGTAAAGGGTTCTCCTGCATGGCTTATATGCCAAGTAATAACTTCATATACCCATGAAGAAAATATGTGGAAAAAAATACTTGTTGCTTAACTTTTTGTGAGGAGTATATTAAGACTTGAACACACGTGCACAACAGATCTACATCCTCCTCTGTTGTAGAAAATAGTTTACTTGCAGAGGATAACTACTACTACTACTACTACTACTACTACTACTACTACTACTACTACTACTACTACGGAAACAATAATAATAATCCCTTAACCGCGCAAAGGACCACCCTAAACCCATCTACTTCATTTCCATCAAATCATCTGTAAAACATATTAACATAAATGAGAGAGACAGAGACAGAGAGAGAGGTTAATGTTTACTTACCATCAATGGACACAGGACCCCGTCTCGGTATACTCGTACATAAGTCGGTCGTGCGATCTTCTCACAATCCACTTGGCTGTTACTGAGGTCTATCATTCTTAGGCTAGGAATTGATTTCCTATCAACGATGAATGCTTCATCCCAGTCGTGTCCTGTGACTCGCACGATCTCGGGGTGCACGACAATGTCGATGACATCACGACTACCCCTACCGAAACAAACCAGCTCCCCGTCATCTGAATAGCATCTGGGTATTCCTATAGTTGAATTTGAAATGGGTCAGCTTTTAAGATTGGGAGTGAATTCGAATGGAAATAGTTCCGAAATTGACAGAGACTATGAAGACTTTGATAATTGATAAATAATATATATCAATACCAGTTTCCGTCCAATAATACTGTTTCAATCGATGAATAGCCTCGACCCCGGGTTGGACGTCTAGGTTGTTGTACCAGATAAGAAAGTCTCTGAGCGTCTTCATACCATTGGTAGCCCATATGTCTTGCAAATATGCATAATTATCCTCGATTGTTGGCGGAATACTCTTCAGATTTAACGATTTGAACACCTCTTCCTCTGAGCTGTTGACATGCTCTTTAATGAAATCATCATATTCCGCTCTATTCGGATCCTCGAGGGTGTTCACAATTTTTAATGAGGACCAAAATGCTTCAACAGGAGGAAGTTTGGTTTCACCCAACTTTGTTTCGCTATCAAGATATTCATAACAGAAGAATCCCTTGGATTGTGAAGTCTTGAAAGTTTTCAGAAATCGATCATAACTCGTCCTAACAGGTAGATACTGAGAGACATCCAGTATTCTAAATTTATCGGTAACGATGCAAACGTACCGATTGTTACGTGTGATAACGAAATTCCCATTTTTCCCTTCAACGAGGTTTAACGTCCTAGCTATTTTCCTTTTCCATAAGTTTAGATCATATTTCGAACTGTTAAAACCCAAAACAGGGAGTTGAGAAGAGTATTGATGCAGTTTTCTTGTTAAGGAAACCATCCTTTGGTATAACCGTTCGTCAATCTCCGTCCACGATGATGCGTCGCAGTGCACGTCATCCTCCGCAATATCCTCCCACTCGTAGTCGACGTGTATCTCAGACGTTTGATGTAGTTGTCGTATCATCTCATTGTACACGTTAGGTTTTGACAGTCGATTGCGCATAGCCCGGGAAATGTCTGCTTCCTCATCATCTTCTTCATTGATGTTTTCTACTTGATCTTTTCCCCTTTCTTCATTGTAATCTCCTATCACCTTGTTTCGTGTTGTATTCATTTCTCTACCATTCTAGGAAATACATCCAAGTTAACGAGAGACAATGCTCAGTGTGAATGATTGAATTGTAATGTCATATGTGATGATTTGAAGCACCACTATTGTAAATATACCACTGTAACATCAGAAATGAGTAATGGTCTTTTATTATTCCAATGATTATAATATGTATGAAGGCTAAATTTATGGATATATACATGAATATTGAATCTGACATAGGCGAGTGTGAGTTAGTTTACGTCGCGCTCAGCAATGTTTCAGCTACAACACTACACTACCCCAGTGATCTGTAAATAATTGAATCTGGTCCTGGGGGTGGTTTATAGATCCCCTCTGCAAATCGAACCCAACCACTAGATCTGGTTTAGTCACCTCTTACAACAAGTACGGGTTCCTAACAACAATAATATACAAACTACAAACTAAAAGAAACATGAATGAGTTAGTTTTACGTTGACCTCCTAACCCAGTGACATGTAAAACAAACGAATCAGGACTAGACAATCTAGTCATCAACACTACGAACTTGAATGACATTAGATTACATAATCAGTTGTACCACAAAAAAGTAAAAAATATGCAAGACGATCAGCACGCCTCCTGTTTCTAGCGGGACGCAGGCGAGGTAGAGGATTAGCATCTGGTTGAATCCTGTCAACTTGTTGTCGTCCTCTTCTTCCTCGCGGTTGTTGTCCCAAGTCGCGTTGTTGAGGTCGCTGTACGCCACGAGGTTGATTACCCGGGGGAGGTTGTTGCTGGGGTACCCAGTCATTGTTGAGGTCGAGGACTGCTAGGAGGATCCTAAATATGATTTGTCTCAGGTTAATGAGGCACAGTCCTAACAGGCACAGGATCGCATCTCTCAATAGATCTATTTAGGAAAGAACAAAACAGAGAATCCATTACTGGGTGAACATTTCTATTTCCTCCGCTTCATTAATCATGATCGGAGGCATGTGAGAGCACCCCGACCCAATACTGTTGCTCAGTCTTTGGGTGCCGGTCCTCAGGCCACTCTGACATGATTCATACCTGATACATTTCTGTACTCACCGCTCTCGAGTCCCATGAGAATAGTTCATACATAATCCTACCTCGAGTAGCATGTATTTTACTGGATGTTAGTGGGGAGCGATCTGGGAAATGACTAAACCATCGTGGGTAGTTATCCAGCGATGTTGGTGTTGGGATCGGGTTCAGGTGTGACTGAGAGTAATAATCTTGTAGTGAACTCTGTTGTTACAATCCTTGGGGTGCAGTACACTTCTGTTGATACTACATAACCATATTGTATTAGACAAACCTGTAAACACTTAGTACAGTTGTGGATGCAGCGATGCTTAGTGATCTTGAATAAGTGCATCGAATATGGGTTGCAGCAGGTTCA